GAGCAATTCTATTCTTTTTCTTTTTGTAAACGACAATGTTTTCAAACATAAAACTGCTAATTTCTTGCAGGAAACAAATATAGTAGTATCTACTTCAGCTGAAGAGAAGAACATAGAGGAATCTAGTCCACAAAACTTCGAGGGCTCTACTGAGAAAGCTAATGGTTCACAAGCTAAGACTTCTGCACCCAAGACCGATGCTAAATGTGCTAAACAGTAAGTATTCAGATCACAGCTTTAAACCAATAGTAGTCTCGATAATAAACACATGTTTCTATGCAATTATCGCTTACCTTCGGAATTATTCATGTCATCATATGACAAATTTGATTGTGATTATATATGATAAATATACTTGCATCCTAATATATTACAATGCAGGAATACTGGTCACCGATCACGGGTGAGGAAACTTCAGTACATAAGTCAACTGGAGAGGACTGTCCAACTCCTACAGGTAAAGTATATATTGAAGAAATTGCACTTATTATTCTCACATTCAATTTTTGTTGTTGGCGGTGCAAATACTTAATATCTTTTCCCGTTTTCTATTTGACAGGCTGAAGGATGTGAGGTCTCCGCTGAGGTTGAGTTCCTTGAGCAGCATAATACTATATTGATCATGGAAAATAAAGTATTGAGGCAACGCCTGGAGAGTTTATTGCAGGAACTGCACATAAAACACTGTAAGTCTTTCGTATGCATAAGAGCTTCGCCTATGATATATATGCAATTCTCAATTCAGTCAAAACAGAAAAACATATTTGACAGCATCCTAGGAAAAATCCTTCGTATCTTATTACAAATTTTTGAGTAATCAGAAGCGAATTTCTGCAGTGGAGGAAGAGATTTTGAGAAGAGAAATTGGGAGGATGCAAACTCTGTTTCAGCTACAGATGCAACCGCCAATGCAGCCTCAACATCAACATCATTCCAAACAACATCGAAGCGAAAGTCGAGATTTGAAAACCAATCAAGTAGTTTCTATATGAAGAATAAGAAGCAGAAGTTCAGCTCAATAATTGAGCACGGATCTAAATTAGATATAACGCTCCGAATCTCACTACCTAAAGACTCTCTATGTTTCTAGTGTTTCTTTCCGATTCCTTTTTCTTTCTTTTTCCTGTTGCCACCACTTCTTCATCACGTGATATAGTATGATCTAGATTTAGCATGGCCCTTACGAAACTTTAGCTGTCTGCCATGAATTGTATACTAGACTTTTAGAATGGAAGGCAGATGTGAAATAGAAGTGAATTTGCAGCTAATCTAAGCTTATTGTTGATACTGCACCAAAAGCTCCAAGCTTATGGTAGTGGATTTCTTGAGTTTCTTAATAATATGCATCTAGCATTTGGATCATCTGTTGAATGTACCAAACTACCTTACATTGATTCATTTGGAAACTCATTTCAGATTATTTGCTAGGCGCATGTTTTGTTGTGGATTAAACAATAATATGTACTACACAGAGGAGCTAATAACACGGAGTATGGAAAAACGAAAGCAAGAAAACACACATTATAATGTGTGCAATGGCTAAATCCACAGAGTGCAACTGCAAATGGATTACAATGTGGTTTAGACTCAAAACTTTCTGTATTTTATGTGTACTATGATCCACATAATCGAGGCTCACCCTAATATCCTTTATATCAAAGGAGGATATTAGGCCAAACCCTGGACCACGGGAAAGTGTAAGTTACATTAGGCTCCCCACAACCAATACGGTGTACAAATAATATCATGTACTATCATCTATTCTACTTTACCGAACACGTGAGAATTGTACTAAAATGAAATCATTTCCGTTCCGTTTTCTACTTACGAATGCAGATTTCCTATTATATTGACAGACGAAGTGTATAGACGAAACTTGATTAATTAACAGAACATAATAGCAATAGTGTCTGAGATATACATACTAAATTGGGTTGGCCGTCATGGTCCAGTTTTGAGGTGGCCTGAAACGACTTTGTTAAGCACGTTTGTGCCTACAATTATTGCGATCGAGGTTGATCTACGGGCTTTTTTCCTTTTAGTACATGTATTTGTTTTAATTTTCTTTTCTTTTCTTTCATAAATATCTACTGACTTTGTAAATTATGCTCCACTCAGTCAACTTAAGGGAACAATACACAAATTAGGTATTTACTTTCACCCATTTCAA